ATAGTTTTCATCCACAATACAGTTGCAATTCCCTGGTGCTCGCATGTATAGATGGTCAGCTGGAGTCTGCTCTTTGGAATCCGACGACCAATGAGGTCAAACACCTTCCGGAATCCTCCGTTCCCCTCCCCCCTGGTGCGTGTGCGGCACGCACCTACGTCGAATCTTGTGCTTTCGGGTTCGACCCGATTTCTGAGGATTACAAGGTGATAAGGTTTCTGGAGTTCCACGATGAGGATGGTTTTGATGTTAGCAACTCCCGAGCCGAGATGTACTCGCTGAAGGACGATTATTGGAAGGAAATCGTTCGTCCTTGTCATCTCAACATGTTCAACTCCTCTGGGGAATTTATTCACATTAATGGATTTCATTATTGGGTGACATCTACTGGGATTCTCGCCTTCGACTTTTCTAAGGAAGTATTCTTGGACCATACTCTGATTCCTCTGCCCTGGACGACATTTCCATTTTCGTCGTCGAACTACTATCTTGTTGAGGTAGATGGGGCACTCGCGTTTCTTGTGTTCAAATCTTGTGACCTTCTGGTGACCACCGACACGCGTTTTGAATTTGAAATATGGATATGGAATCATGGTGAATCAAATTGGAATCGAAGAGTGTCCAAAATTGTGTCTGGGGCTGCTGTGAAGTTCGTGAGAGGCCTCTGGAACAATGATAAGTTGTTCCTTCAAGATATGAATGGGCTTTTGATGGTTTATAACATTGCCACAAAGGAGTTGAGGAGTCTCACATTGTGTTCAGGTCCTCAGGGGCGGTTTAACATTCTTCCCTATGTGGAGAGTGACAAGCCTATCGGACACGGTATGCATGATTTCGTCGTTTATCTTTCTACCTTTACTGTTGTTGATTCTTATATTATGTATTTCATCTGTTCAATATCTTATATTCTACCTTTAATGTGTAAATCATGTTTGGCTTTTATGGAAAAAGTTTCGCCATAGGTAAAATTTGAAGTTCACTTTGGTAACTCCATATGCATTGTTGGATATGCATTGTTCGGTGTGCTGCATAACTCCATATGTCCCCTTGTTCTTTCTTTCCCCAATATTTATGAAGATTTATTTTCTTTCTAATATGGTATCATCCTCGAAAATGTACGCTTTCTTTCACCAATATTTATCAAGATTTCTCTTCTTTCTTGTCTATCAGACTTGTCATCCTCGAAAATGAATGTTCAATCGGCTGCACCATCCCATTCTCGACGGAGATCCATCCCTCTGCTGCCGACGGCCAAATTCTCCTCAAGTTTTTCGACGTCTGCACTTGGTGGTGATAAATCATATATAGAGGATCCAGCGCATTTCACCGACAATTTCTTTGAAATTCCTGTATGTGCGGTATCAATGACTTACATGAACACATACGTGGACAGGAAATTGCATGAGAATTCATATTGGGTCTCGATGCATCCAGCCGTGGCAGATTTCTGTTTTCATTGGATGGATCAGGCCCAGCAGACGTATCTTGGGTCTGAGTATCAAAAACCTTCATCTTACCTGACGAAGAAGCAACGTAGACAAAGAGTAAATGTTGAGCAGCGAGAATTCAACCACGTATGAATTATGTTTTAGAATCTCAATTGACAATTTTGTTTTTTTT